AATAGAACACAACTGTTATGAGGTTATTTAAATTACAGTAAGAATCAACATCAGTAACATCTCTCTATGAGTCACCCAATAAAATACATCGCTTTGTATGTATTGAGTGCAATGCATTTGATCGTTCTGTGCACTAGATATTATGTTTTAGCACAAATTGCAGTTATACATTGGAAAACCATGAGTATCTACAAATTCCTATAAGATGCACTTCTTTAACCTTACCAAGATGAAAGTTTCATATCCTGGAAACGAGGAAACGTATTTGATTTCATTTCCTTTCATCTCGAACCTCATTTTCAATTGGAAATCGCTTAAAAATCCGCGATATTGTCCGCCGACCCACTACTGTACAGTGATGCTCTTCAACGTATCACTGGAAGTTGCTGCGCTTACGAAAAAAAATTTAAGAAATTTTACTTAAAGAAAAGTAAACTTTAAAGTAAACTAACTTTTACTAAAATTTTACTCTTTACTTTTAAGTGATTCGGTTCCAAGCATTTAAAGGCTGAAAGAAAATTTTATAAAGGTGATATGTGCAACCAAGATGGTAAGAAGAAATCTCCTATTTATATTTGTGAAATTTTGAACTCCTTTATTACTTCAGTGATCAAGACGTTATCTCCAGTATTCGAGAAACCACCATCTGAGCTTTTGTTTTGAATAAGTTCTATTTCACCCAGTCATCTACGCACTTTTCAAGAAAGCCGAGTTTGCTTTGCTTTTTTGCTCAACTTTTATTTTTTGCTTATTTTTTCTCATGGATGGCGACTATGTGGAATACAACCGCAAGAATGGTGAGGTGTGATCAGAACTCGGAACCTCAGCTGAGCTTCGAATCCGTCAATACATTTATCTGAAGCACACGTTCTATCAACCACTCTAATCGAGGGCCTGTATTTCACTTGCTCCTAACTCATCTTTTACTTTAACAATGTCATAAGCGCTAAGGTATTTTCTACTTTAAAAAATTTTTAAAAATAACTGAAGAATATAAGCTATCATATTTACGCAAGATTCCACACCGTTCGTTATCCATTGTGAATAGAATATTTTAACCGATCCTCCTGCAGCTGTGAACTAGTTGCAAAAACATTGATTTTAACCATAATGCCGCCGAGAGATTTGCAAAACTCCGAACCGCTGGTGCCTGCTGTGGGTACCAAACACGTTATTACCCTTTCAGGGGCTAACGCGTTCACCACCATACCATGCCAGCCTTTCGTTTCGCCTGTCTCTTAGCCGTATTATTGACCTATAGGCACTATCAGCTACATTATCAATACTAATTTTGATATTTAATCCATTCGCAAAGAAGTTGTCCTTTTAATAAGTAAGAGTAGTTTCTTCATCCGTAAAGTATTTCAGAAGTTTGGAACTTCACAGGTTTATTTGAAATCTTTATTCCGCCACAATAACCATAGATACAAAATTTATTTAGTGTTCCTTTACGTCCAAATATGCGCAGAATTGGAATATCCAAGGAACTGATATCAAAGTTGAGGTTTTTAAAATTTCAGGCAAGAACACGCTACCTGTAAACAAACTTTGTATCCAGGAATACGGTCAGAAATGTACATCATACGCCCAAGAAATCCTGAAATTCATCATTCTAAGGCAAGACAGCCTTCATCTTGCAGTTATATTTAATAAAATTTACTATAACCTTCGATATGTTGTTTTGAAATCAGAAAGTGGTCATTTTTAACCATTCATTTATAGGCCGAAGTCTTTAAAGGCACTCTTAATTTATCACTAGTCATCTGGTTTCTTGCAGAGTTGCCTGTTCTGTGGATAGCTCATAAACTCATTTGTCATGGTGCTAGATGCTGTCTCCAGGTAACTAATGAAGAGTTAAATATCGACCAAAAAGCTTTCGTATACTTGCCATGAGACACAGGTAATTGGCGTCGATTATTGTACTAGAATAATTTATAATTTCCATGTGCATAACCTGTTCATGCGTGCATGGATCAATGGCTTGCTTGAGTGTATGCCACCCGGAACCTCTTCATCAATATTATCAAGCAGCTACAATCGCGTGAGAATTCTTTCACTAAAAGTAGCAGAAATGGAAGACCTCATACAGATAGTGTCATGCTGATCGCATCTTTCGATCGGAGTCAGTTGAACAACTGTGGCTCGCGACAAGGACAGATGGTGATTTCAATGGCACTCGCGGACATCACTCGATAATTAACGTGATTGGGATTCTGGTTGTTCTAGTAACACAGCTCAGTCAAATCTCGCTCTATTTAGTGCCACAGATCCATTAACGAGAAGGGTACAACTACATTAGGCAATGAGAGTGACTTTAAGTCATCTGTCTCTTTTCTGATTAAGAGTTCTATTCATCGCTGCTCACTACTGTTCTAATGTGTTTCTGAAAAATCGTCGATTTAACTTCTGTTTCTCGGCACATTATAAAAGTTCTTCACCTCATTCAGTCCGAGATGCTGTCATTCGTGTCTCATTTATCTGCATGAGTTACCTGAGCCACTCACTGTGTCGCTTTCTCGGCCAGTAACAGCACGATGTTGACTAGGTCGTACAACGACACACACACGTCCACCATCTCCCGTGCGCATTTCTTTGTCCGAAGACCCAGCTGACCTCCCACTGAGGTCATTAATCGATCGCCACCCCACCCCACATCTGCGTCGTTGCCAACCTCATCCTTTCAACGACCTCTCCTATCCTCTAGCCATTACTAGAGAATCGATACTGGGAACGCATTAACCCACTCACTGTCAGATGACTTTCGGTTATTTCTAGTGCTAATGCTCAAGCCAAAAATGCTATAAATTCTGTAAAAGAACACTCTTATAACATTTGTGCTATGAACTTTTGTTTTTCAAAGAAATTTTAAGGAAAGGTATCCTTATCAGTTATTGAATATTTAACTCTTTAAAAATCAACTCAATGGCGTCCACAACTTAGCTGCACCTTAAATCTGTGTCTTTATTTTTAATGCTCTTATTAATGTAACCATCAAATTTTGTAAGGATATTTGAACATTTTTTTTGCTTTATGGTGGCTTCCGTAGATCCAATTTAAAAGTAATTAAGAGATGACCGTTCCCTGAAATGTGGAGTTCAGTTGGATCTACATCATCGTTCTTACGTGTTTACATCGTTTCGTTGTCTCATTAGGGTCGCAAATTCTTAATCTTCTACCTAGATGGTTCACTAGAACATCAACTCAACTTAGTTTTCTTATGGTATTTTTTAACATCATTATTAAGCAGTTTTCGTAGTGTGCCAAATACATGCTCTTCATCGGTCACTTATTCACTTCTGGACAAACGGATTATTTCTATTTTCCACAAAGAGCAACGAGAACGGATGGTATCCTCGACAACAAGAGTTTTTCGACCTAATTCTACAATCTTGTTGATTGCCTTACAACAATAACAGAAGTGATCATATGTAAGGCTCGACTGTATGTGGCCGTTCCGAGTTTTCTAGGAGTCTCACCAGCAAGTGGTTGCTTATTCTCAAAGAATTTCGACATCAACGATGGAGATACATGGGACTGGGGGATTGTTCCATGCGCATACATTGTTTTCTTTCAGTTCAATTCATTTGAGTCTTAACAATGCGTGATATTTACGAACTAGCTACAGGTAGCTCTATTTGACTTAACCCCATAAGCTTCTTGATTACCCTACAGCATTAATAGATGTGATCTTATGTTAAACTCGATTGTATGTTGCGGTTTGAGTTCTACTGCACTTTCGGCACTGAGTAATTGCTCATTCAAAGCTTTTCGGTTTCAACGATGATGATATATGGAACTGGAGGATTGTTGTATGCGCCTGGATTGTCTTCCTTCACTGCAATCCATTTGAGTCTCAACATTGCGTGATATAAACGAACCAGTTTCAATTAACCATATGCGTCCGAAAGCAGCCTTCAAACGTTTTGCTTCGCCCGGATAGACGCATATATATATATATATATATATATATATATATATATATATATACGTGTGGTGTGTGTCGTGTATATCGCTGCTGCAGTGACCATTCATTCATTACTGTCTACGCCACTCATTTTTACCCCAAGGTCAGCCGTTGGAAACAACACAAGCAAATTTATGCTGTTGTTTGTTCAATACATTTATTTTACTGGGTTGCTCTTCGTATTTCCTTCCATTTTTGAAAAAAAAGTCATTTTGGATACCTGCCCACGCCATTCTTGCTCATATTGGCGCTTGACTAATGGTACAATTTCACATAGTTTCCATTTAGCTGCTCTTTCATCTATCCACAACGTTGATAGACTGTGCGATATTGACTGCTAGTTCTTTCAGAAAGTCATGAATTTTGTTTGTGTGCTTCGAAAAGTGACGAGTGCTAGTCTCCCTAAACGAATCATAGGTGCTACCGTCTTCTTAAAATTGAGGAATCTGTTCTTCGAATCGATAATCTAATTTTAAATAGTAATGTTTACATTGTGATCTTTTAACATAAAAATGAACCGGAAAGACGAATACATCACTACCACATGTGGTACGTTAGCTTATGTCGGGATGATTTTTTGATCCGCTTCCCTGTGGCTGGGTCTCACTTATCTTCCCTCGCGAACAAGTCCAAAGACAAGATGGGTGGTTTTTAAAAATTGGCGTGTTTTCATACGATCAATTAATCTTATTTTCATTGAACCACTTGCCTTCTGCCATTTGGGTTTCCACGACCTTGAGGTTGAGACGAAGAAACGCAACAAAGGCGTCATTAGACTTCGTTTATATACGCGATGTTCTCTTGACATTAAAAAGATTCCATAAAATTGTCGGAAAATAATATACTATACCATTAATGTTATTTTCACATCAGGATCATCCTTTTCTTCGGATTCCTTACATTAATGAAGCTTTCTCATTCCCATGTCTAGGACACTTTTCCGTATTCTATTTTGTTTCCTGTTATTAATTCTTAAATTCGCTGATTCTTCAACTAAAAATTCCACTCTTCAATCTTTAAAGGTGGGTGTTCCCGAATGTTTCGACGACGCTCTGCCGCTGTGCTTGGTCCAGCAGGTTTGTGAATTTGTGACTATATTCTTAATTTTAATTCCCACTGTTTACTAGTTTTGAAACTTAACGTCGCAATTCTTAAATTATTTGTGAGCAAATGTGCCCTAAATAGGTGCTTTATTTTCCCGGTGTTTGTGTGTGTATATGTTGTTATTATTCTTATTCTTGTTATTATCATTATTATTATTATTATTATTATTATTATTATTATTATTGTCTTTACTGTTGTTGTTGTTATTGTGTTCCTAAATAAGAACATTTCAGAGGGTGGGAACACGCACGGAAGAGATCGTCGCTCGTCAATCACAAGCAAACTTAGCGACATATTCAAGAACGGAGTGGCAAACCTTGATGATGCTCTAGATGACTTCGAAACAACAACGTGTGTTCTGAGTGTCTTTGTGTTTCAGTTCATACATCTGATCATAATGCCCGACCGATGTCCAGTCATATGTTAAGGAAAGTGATCCCTGCACTATCTGGAATCAATTAATTTCAGTAAGCTGACGGAAATGAATGCTGCCATTCAACGTCGTGGAGCGGACCGATTCTATCGTTGGGCACAATGTGGAGGAAATGAGGCCATTGACGATATAGCGGGAAGAATTCGGGATCTGCTACATTTACACGCTGAACAACAAACAGTTCTCGCTGTGGAAGTGGCTAATTATGTAGAGGTGAGCTATGAAAATGAGAACGTGGCTTATAGCAGCATTTGTGAGCTTGTGAAAGGTGCACAACTGAAAATTTAACCGTAACAAGTTCATGTAGTAGCGTCAAAGTTATGGGCAATGGTTTTGCCTGGGAACAATGCGTTGATTGAATCTCAATTTATCACGTTCTCTTTTAACTGTGCAAATCTTATTGATTGTCTGGACTACTCAATGTTGAGTAGTGAAGGTGTCAAAGAGGGTTTTTACGATCAACACACCGTCGTCGGTGTTTTCTTTTTTAAATAAGACAACACAAGCGTGATTCGTCATCGAGACGCAAATACCATGACATTTCCAAGCAGGAATAGGTTAGTGGGAGTCTAACTGCTTGCATTGTGTGACTGAAATCTTGATGTGGTTTCCTAATGAACTTTCCATTCGATAGCAATGAATAAAAACGTTAGCTGCTACTTTAGCGCCTTCGAATGATGAAAGACGCAGAGTCGGAAGTGAAACAATTGGAGAATCAAGTGAAAGCGTTGTTGCATAAAGAGAAACGAATCAGGAAGGAACTCCGTCGTCTTCAAAATCCAGGATTCTTTTCGAGAAGTAAACCTGGTGACAGCCTGGTGATACATCATCAACTTCAAGAGGTTAATTAGTAAAATTGGAATCTGTTCTAGGTTGAGAACTGTTTTCTCTTTGCTCCTCTACTATTTAAAAGGCGATAAGATCTTGATTTCTGCTCCTCCAAAAACGAGCCTGCTGCTCATGCTGATACCGATATTAAACGGCAGAGGATGCTTGTTTAAGTGGCGTTCGCTTTCGAATGTTTGAATTCAAAGTAGTCTGTCTTATTAATTATTGCCGAGCACTTTTGGCTATCGTTTTTGAATAAAGTTTCCCTTTGAAATAAGAAATGAGAAAATTGGTTTCTGAAATCTACTACTGCCTGCTTCTAGATAGGAATTTGTGAATATGGTCGATGAAGAACTTATGTCTAAGAATACCTTCTCTATAGATCTAAAATGTTCTGCGACAAACTCACGTGGGTGCCCTCTTATCCAACCAAATATGATCTCGTTTCTCTTGTTGTAGGCTATTCAGCAGCGGATGAAAGCGGAACGTGAACTAGACGATACTAGAGCTGAGTCTGAAGTAGTTAAAATGTATCGTTTTCGACATGGAATGAAAGTAAGTTACCCCTATTGGCAGCCCTATTAAAAGCTGCACTAAAGACTCACAAGTGAATTCATTGCTCATTACCTAGATAATAACACGTCATTTAGGGAATTGCTGACTCGTATGTGAGCTATAGTGAGCGCTCATACAACATTTTTAGATGTCATAGGTAAATCGCTTGAAATGATCTTTGAAATGGAATACATTGCGATAAGCTTATTCATCACAGAGAGATTACCGAATTGGTGCCGGCAATAGGGACCGAAGATGTTCGTCAAGTGAAATATGAAGGTGCAGCAATTTCGCGGGATCGCGTTGAGCATCTGCGCAGGTTCGTGGTATATATTTCTCAGCGTAAGACCAGGATTTAATAGGGAAGTCATAGTTTAAAAATTTTCAAGTTCAATTTTAAATCTAATATGTTTAGGGCGCTAGATCCAAGAGCGTTACAGGCAACACCGTCGTATCCACATATTCCTCCTGTCTCTCAGTTGTTGGGTCCACCTCTAATGCGAAGAAGGCGTGAGCCGCTTCGCATGGGTTCCGCATGGGAGCCGATACCGTGTGATACTCCACCACCACCATACACTTCCACTGCCAACCAGACATTTACCCCAAATCACTAATGACCGTATCTGAAGCTACTCCAGTCATATCGTTTGTTCGGTTGGAAAGAACCGATTTTAATTAGTTATCTTTGTGGTTGCGGTGAAATACCAGCATCCCCTATTTATCATCCCGAATCTTTCATCAATAGTGTGTTTGTATACGTTAGGCTTTTCTGTAGCATGTTTTTGAGCGCAGTTTGTCACCACTAATGTGTAACTACCGTTCGTTGCTTTTATGTTATGCAATAGGACTGTTCTGAGTCAAGTCGTTGTTTCTCAATTTTTATTGATGGTTGTGCATAATTGTTACTGTTATTGTGAGGTCATGGGCCTATAATTCATTCCTTCGTTAACTCGTATACCTACGCCATTCCAGCATCATCTAGTGGCGTTATTCGCCATCAATTCTTCAGTACTAACATGTGAAGCGTTAGTACGCTGGTATGTGTCGGCAACAAACATGATTGTATTTTTGACAATGATTGTTTTTGTCACTAGTCCGTCATATGTATGCTTATGAATGTTCGAAATTTGCTTGAGCAAAATACGAGAAAGGCTACGGCATGTTTAATTAGCGACAGCATTGCACGACATCAGAAACGACGAGCTGCAGCCTTTCTAAGTAACTTGTACTAGGGGCACATCATATTCGGCATCCACAGTATGTTTTATATTCTTGTTAGACGGCTCCTAAATTCATTTGCATTTGTCCAAATACAAGGATAAAAGTCAATAACCAAAAAAATTATTCGGTACTTTCCCAACAAATAACGCTTGAAACCAAGCTAGATAGAGGAAAGTTGAAAAGTGAAAAAAAACATTTAGGGTCACATAAGTGGCTACTCAGCCTAAGTAAACTTTTTAAATGAGTATATCTCGTCAGATCTTACCTTAGAATACGATTGAGAATGAAATACATAAGCAGTTTCTACCAAGTCAATTTCCTCTAGTTGGAGTGTTGCTCTTTTCCTAGCTTCTTCAATTGCTTGTGAGCACGATCCTTTCAATTCAGCATATAACTGAAACCCATTTCTTTAGAAAATTTTTTTGGCATTATGATGTATTTTGGTACTATAAAGCTCATTCATAGGCCACAACTGTTATATCTAAGTTGGTTGTCCGCTAATCGATCGTACAATTTTTTCATTTCCTTCTTTTCATCTCAACAACGTGGAAAAAGTAATTAAAGAAATAAAAAGGCCAAATATCACTAAACAGGCGTAAAATTACACAGGCAAATAAAAGTTGACAAAATTAGCTACTAATCGTATGGTTTTTTTTTTTCTTTTGGAAAGGTACTTATGACGACGACAATGGGATAGGCTGAGAAAAAACGCCCATTACACATTACCTCGACGACTATGCCCTGTCCTCGATGATAAGCAATCAGATTGTGTACAGCATTGATATCACCTAGTTCTCCAATAACCTTAAAGGTGAGCACTTTGTGCGAGCTAAACGATGTTTTGAGCAAGAAAAAAATCAGGCAAAATTCTCCCACACTAGTAATCATTGCATATATTTATAAGGAAGAACCTCTTGTATTTGATCAATCTCCGTCGGTTTTGCAACAACTCCGTGAATTTTACTACAATTGGAAAAGAGAATTGGTAACCAGCTCCTGCATATCGTGATGAAGATAGTCGCTGCTCCAACTATGTCCCAGTTCTAAAACATCAGTTCTGTAAGATAACTGTTCAAAAGCAAAGCAGATTTTTCCTTTGTAACATTTTGAATGAATTAAAAACCTTATGAAGATATCTAGTTAGCAGGACGAATACGATAGCAGTTGTATTAGTGATTACATCGACACCTTGGTCTCTGAGTAGAATTCGAATTTGACACACATCTCGTCTACTAAAAGACTTCATCTGATCACTGCAAGCTAGGCTCGTATCACTGATTGAAGAACATATTTGAATGTACTTCAGATCTGTCGAAAACAGACCCGTGGCATAATGGAGAAAACTGTATACACCCATGGTTGTCTTTCTGGATACGAATTTTTTCTTTTTGTTATTTCTTTTAGAAAATAAATGCTAAGCAACATCGAATTCATTAGGTAGAATATTGGTTTTTCGGCTTCGCCAAAGGGTCGCTGTTTCTTTCTTGATCCTTCTCGATAAGTAAGAATTCAAAAGAAGGTAGCGTAAAATTGTGAATATTGTAGCCTTCATATTTAACGCTTGGATAATCAAAGAAGAAGTAAGACAAGACAAATGTATTGAGGTTCTACATAAGAGTAATTGGGCTTTGATGTTCCATTAGACAAATTATTCATCATGGGACAACATTCTCAAACTGTTAGGGAGACCTTTAGCGATAAGATATAGTAGAGCGCCCTTTTCCTCTCGAACTTGCTTATTATGTATGAATTCACCGTAACAATGAGCCAATGAAACTTACAAACTATTCAAGTTAAGATTTCTAAAGTAGATCGCAGCTCAGTTAACGCATCACGATGAATTCAGTGGCTATACTTTCTAAATTTTAACTTATTATTTACTGCCTACTCTTTTTAACGACAGAGTGGGTATATATTGCGAAATATAACTTTGGTGTGGTGGTGAACGCGTTCGTTCCCCACCGCGGACACCCGCGGTCCGGAGTTTTGCAAATATCTCACCAACATTGAAGTTATATTTTCTTTCTAATCATCTTAAACTCTCCTCAGTGGTTTTGAATTGAATGGATTGCTAAGAAGCATACCGCCGCTCGATCAGAAGAAGAGAGGCGACTAAGAAGCATATTTCCAAGAGGAAAACCGTTGAACGCCGAACTGTTTCACTCACCACAAGTCCATTGTATGGAATTATATCGACGTTAACAAGAACAGACGGTTACTACGGAATGAGAGTCAAATGCAAATGAGATTAAGTAACACCGTCATGTTTCCTTCCCTTACGATTTCTCCACCAAAATAATATCTTTAGAGAAAACTTTATGGTCATTCTGCTAATGGAGTAGACATAGCAGTCTAACAATTTTTAAGGTGTTATTCATAAGAAGAGACTAACCAACCATATCAAACAATAGAAAGAAAGAAGAGAAAAGCTCAAACTACTCGCTATTTGCGACAATTGAATTCATGGCAATGGTACTCCATAGCATGACCTTAAATTTGAATAAAAATTCCTCCACCAACGAAAACTTCGGCCAGCTTTCAGCCATTTGCTTCAGAAGTACTTTAAACAAGAACTCACACGTAGCATATTCCAAGTAGAAATAATTTTAACAGAATGTTGAGTGCAACAACTAGGATGTCCTCGAGCTCCATATGTGGGTCAAATCTGAAATCACCTAGAGTTAAAACAGAAGTATACCCAAAAGACAAGAGATTATTAAACTGTAGATTATGAATACCTCTTTTCCACAAATCTGTCAATGTCCTGAACAGCGTTGACAACTGCTAAGACAATCATAACAACTGAGGCAACTACCTAAAATTCGATAAAAAATTGTACTTGTAATAGCTTTAATTGCAAATAAAGTGAGAAGGGTTTGGAGTCCATCAATTCCTTAGAAGTCCGTCTCACATTTCACTTCATCAAGTATCATAGAAGTGGTTGGATGCATATCTGGCAAATGAAATAAGTATTTAGGGATGCGTATGTATGAAATCAAGATTGCTCTCATTTCAGACATGCGAAGCCCAAATTTTCGAAATTAGAGGGAGTGTGGGCGATTAGTTAGCACGGTGGATCTAAGCAACAGCCATACGCGCACATCTGGGAAACTCTAACCACTTCCTTACACGTTCCCTTTCAACTGAAGTAAATAATTCATTATAAGCAATACAATATAATAGAATACAGCCGATCTAATAAAATCTTGTTGAACCGCAATAAATTTTAAGCAAGTAAGTGCATACATTTGTAAGTGATTCTGTTGTTCGACCACGTGGATAGTGTTCAGCTTTTAGAACACGTGCCTAAATTCCACTAAGTTTAACGACGTAGCACAGTTGTAGAATAAATCAACCGTTACCTACCTGAATTCTTTGAACTAGGAGAAGAAAGCCGACGAAGACATCACCGAAGGTTTCTATCGTTGAGTTAGCAATTGAGAACGAACCTGTGTGATAGGCAGCGATAGCCTAGAAGTGGATGTGATGTTTCAAAAAAGAAAGGGCGAGAAATTAAATAGCACTTAGCTTCGATGAAAACGTCGTGAAAGTTAGTATAATCCTGATAGAACCAGATAGTTTGAAAATTAAAATAGCGACAGCGTTTCACGAGTTATATTTAAAATATCTCTGTTGCACGTTTTAAGGTCAGAAAAAGCGAAAGAATAAGTACAAAAGAGGTCGCCAACAAATATGGGACAAGAGGCGAAATGCTTATAAACTTGTTAATAATTTGCTGTGATAAAAATATAATAAACATACGAAATACGCAGCTTAAACTTTTCATGCTATGTTAGCTGGAAATTAGTACAACGTACTCAAAAAAGTCACCAATATCGCTCACAGAGGAATCTCATATCGGTTAGTCGAGAATCAACTTGGCGAGTCTCCGAATGATGGATAGAGGGTTAACTGCGGACCAAAAGCAACATTTTACATCGAATCCCTGTTCTGCCACAACGATTGGGTACACGCTGTTTGTGTGAACGAGGACGTTTTCATGCATGTGTACGTGGGTGTGTTCTCATTTATGCGGATTGTGTTCTCCGAGTCAATTCAACTAAAAGTCTGCAATCAAGTGACGAAAAAGTATATGGGAGACGGTTTAGAGTCACCTCAAACAAATAAGATTCTCGTGTTCTTTTGAAGAAACTGGAAAACTACCTATGAGTATACTCAGCCCTCACGTTCAGAGTACGGCAAGCAATACGTGGTGTCAAAAAGCTAGACACAGTAAAATAAATGAGCCTCATTATCCTGGCGCCGAAAGATCCCCCGATACAGCAGCGTTGAGCAGTGCGAGTACGGAGAGGCTGTTATAATCCCAGTCCAGTTCTAAGCTATCTAAATCGCAAGGGGCTGAGAAAAAGGGAGAGAGAAAAAAGTGATCGCCTTTACCTACAACGCATGCACCCTTGTATCTAAGTTCTCTATACAAGACTTGATCACGGAGGGAAAAACGATGAGATACGATGTCACCAGACTGTATGAGATGAGAAGACGCCACCCATTAAGCGCTGCCTATGACACCGGAGAAGAGGTGTTCTTAGAAACGTGCGACAACAAAGGAGTCGACGACGTCCGTGTTCTCAACAACGGGTCGTGAACATCGACTTCTTCAAACAACTAGCAATCTAAATCGGAGGTTAACGGTTGAAGAAATGTGGAGTAATATCGAACTTGATAATCTTCGTCGCCTACGAGCGGACATCGTGCCATGACGAAGAGGAATTCGAACCGTTCTATATGGACTTGGAGAAGCTCTACAGAGAAGACCATGCATTGTTTATGGTCATCATTGAAAACTTTATGTTTAAGATTGGACCCAGAAAAATCTCTTAATAACGTGACGCTAGGACCCATTGATGAGAATGGGATGAGAAGCTGTTTGAGTTTATCTTAACGAGTAAACGGTTCATGGTAACCTGCAAATCCAGAGACCTCACTCTCAACGAAGGACGTGGAAGTATCCTAGTGGAGAACATCAAAGAGAAAAACCCGTGTCACAGTTAGTCGAAAGTTTTTTTAACTGATGCTGATGTTGTCTCAAGATTCTGCACTTGGTCAGACCATCGCCTCCTTCGTGCAAGATTTTAATTCTCACAAAAGGAAGAAAAAATCGCTAAATTCAAAAAACCGAGTCCCAAAACTACCATCAAACGGGACGTATGCAGTTGATTAGTCGGCTACTGGAAAGATGCCGTTGACGTAAGAACATTGCCGAAGAATACGTTAGGCCCGTTCAACGTCTTCGCGTTAGTGCTGTGAAAGCTAGGAGTTCGAAGGTCACCAAGAGGTGTCCGCTTGCAGAAACATTTGAGCTAATACATCAGCATGAAATCGCACGAGCTATGGGCAACCGCCAACTCACGCTCGAGCTTGCAAAATAGTAGAGATAGTAGATAGAATGAAAAAGACCAGGAGTAATGGCCGAAGATGCAGAGGCTGGGAAACGCATTTGCGAAACCTACCAAAACATCAGTAATTACAAAACAAAAGTGACTGCACGCAGTCGTTCACACGGAACAGTTGCAGCTTTCAGAAAGGCGATGGAGAAAATCATTCACGAATTATATTCGGATTTGTTAATAGCCACGTGCTCTTGCCCTTATATAAAAAAAAGAGTGTAGATATATCGTCAAAGCCGGCCTTCCTTCCAAAATCCGACCGCCGATTTGCTCGATGAACAGTCGTTCAACTCTAGGTCCGAGCAGGATAAGGTCTGAACACATCAAAAACCTGTCGCCAGTTCTCATTAAATGCATTTTCTCAGTTATTCATACACTGTCTGTCAAAATAGATGGTTTCTACTCTATTGAAGAATAGCAAGACCGTGCTATTGTCGAAGAAGAGTGATCTCTACGAGATCGGGAACTATCGCCCAATCTGCTTCATGTCTGCCGTTTAAAAATTCTTCACTCGAATCTTATCGAATCAGCTTAAGCAGCATTGACAGAACACTTTATGAAGGACTACTATGAAAACAAGCATGGCTTCGAAAAAAATTCGGTATGGAGGACCACATTCACACACTAGTATGATCCAGTGAAAATAACGCGAGAGTATAAGAAGCCGCTCCGAAACCAAAATATCACCGAAGCATAGCGATACCATCTCGCTATAATTATTTACTGCCACCCTGGTAAACGTCATCGGAATATTGCAACGGGACAACATGGGACTGAAAATCGATGGTTGGCAGTTACATCACTTTCTCTTTGCTGATGACATCGTTCTTGTAACACCAAACATAAGCCAAGCGGAACGAATGACTGCCGACTTTGGAAAAGACTGTGGAAAAATTGGTCTTCAACGGAATTTCGCAAGAACGAGAAACAAAACGGTTTCGCATGCCCCATTCACGCTCAATGAAATGAATGTTTTCGATTGTTGCAGTTGCGTCTGCCTAGATCGGGAAATCAGCATGATGAGGAGCTTGGCTCCAGAGATGAGCACCAAGAAGCAAGCGGCTTGGAGAGCTTTCGAAAGCAACGAAGATATAGTGAGGAGTGCAAAGAACGCCCGACTTCCTGCCACCTCACCTTTTCGACTCCATGATTCTTCCCGCCTTAATGTATGCATCAGAAGCTTGGTCCTTATGTAACCAGGCTATTAGATCACTCAGCGTTGTAGAACGTGCAGGAGAAAGAACAGTGCTAGGAGTATCCAGTAATACGAAAGTAAGTGGGGATATACCTACGTCAACGACCGGAAATCAATGAGACCGTTCCATACGCTAATATGTCAAAGAAAAGGCGGCCCGGACACGTAAAGCGTATGTGTGCCATATAGTCGCAGACGACCTTCTGCTACCGGCGACGATGCATTTTGTAAGTTCTGGTGGGCTTAAACATATGACAACTGCTCGAAAACTGCAGAAACTGCAGAAGAAACCCGGTGTACTCATTCGTCCAACCACAAGGATAAACAGTTTACTCCATCACAGATTCGTGTGTCTGGATGAAACTTTTGCAGCAGAGACCCAAGCCCAAAAAGTCGGCAAAATGCACCAGAAATTTGAATGGCTGTGCACTACATTGGTCAAAATAGAGGAACCTTTTCTTCCCTACGATATACCGAGCTACGTGCCGCGCTAGCGAAAGTAGAACGAACTAGACTAGGAAATCACAATGTTTAACGTTTTGTTTTCTGCCTTCTATAATTTTCATGGCAGGTTACTAAGCGAAATACAACCACAACGTTGCTGAGATATTTGCAAAACTCTGGATCGCAGGTGTCTATGGTGGGGAACGAACGCGCTATTATCCTTTCCGGGGAGTAACGCGTTCACCACCACACCATGCGGGGCCTTCGTTTCGCCTGTCTCTCATCTATTTCTATCGATCTTTTTGCCACAGCAATCACCCGTCAGCGGGGTTGATCTGGGGAGCGCAAATCGGCAATTTCAATCGATCTTTTTTCCACAGCAATCACCCGTAGACTAGGAAAATTTGCCTCCTCTACCACATTTGCTTAACCTCTCGCCCACCGAACACCAGTTTTGAAAGCGTTTCGTCAACTTCCATTGCGGGAAGTTTTCGGAAGCAAAGTCGATAACCAAACTGCCTTCACCTCTAGGAGTGCACCTTTTTTGTTGCCGACATAAATAGACTTCCTTCTTCTTGCTAAGAGTGTGAAGATTCTGAGCGTTTTGTTGAAATTCGTCATTATTTCCAAACGATCTAGTAGAACAGCTCTATGCGTAATTTTTGCAGTTTATTGATTTTATTTGAGCCTTTTAAGTTGAAAGTCGAAGACTTGTAATGGGATAAAAATAAAAAAAGTTTCTGGGTGGCTGCTGAAAATATGGATGGCCTGTACGAGGATTACATCGAATTCTGGTATAAGTTCTGTTACTGTATTGCTTCTCTTTTCAAAAATCAATCTTTGACAAGAACAAGAGGAAGCATGGGAAAATTTCTGAGCAGCCCAAGAGTGGAAATTTTATCGCAGTGTAGCAAGAATTGTATCTGGCTAACACAGGTCGGTTGATTGTTACAAATGACCAGGTTTTTTCTAAGACGTTACATGATCGTTTGGATCTTAAAAGCCTATTTTTTTCAGTCACGTAAGAGCGCTATATGACTTATGCAGCTATAAATATGCTAAATGGCTCTCGACGGTGTTCTCGACTTCGCTGAAGGGAACCAAAGAGGATTTCTTCTATCAAAAATATAAATAGAAACAGTCTTATATTTAAAAAATGGAAAACAAAGTGATGAACAAACATATTTTTTAAACTTTTTAAATTTTATTTTTTTTATAATCTTCCACAAGTAAATGCGTAGTTGCCGGTGGACAGATTGTCTCTGCCAACATCAGTCGCGGATTAGGTGAAAATGCTGTCTACGACTGCATGTTCCCTCGTAGGTTCTAATATTTTGCCTCTAGTAAAACCTGATGAGACTTTCGAGGGTCAAAGACTGACACTCGTCTGCTGAAAGCCTAATGGGCTTCAACACTGACTAGAAATATCCCGGTGCAACCACAAAATGACGAAGGAATTTTTAATGGAAGGCGGTAGTTCTGTTTATTCCCGCGAAACGTTTATGCCTTCCAGTTTTTACGCAAAACGCAATCAGCTCAGTCAAGGTCGAACCAATACACCAATTAAAGTTGTCCGCTTTTCTGTAGATAGAAAAACTATGCTATAAACAAAACTAATATGGGCCATCTAACCGATCAACATGAGCTTTTACAAGAGCCAGCTTCACTGCCTGGTTAGACCGCTAACAGAGAAGAGGCTCAAGATGTTTAGAAGTTTACCGCTCTCACATCAGCCATAACCGAACACAGTTTGGGTGGCTTATTAGCAGATGACTAAAAATTTTAATGAATGTATGGCTTGGACGTTATAGAGCAGGATTTCCGTTTTCTCCCGAGATTTCAGTATTAATTCCCAGTAAGTCCGGTGGCATCTCTAACGCCATCACGTCGACAATCGAGTCGTTCCACGTAGTGGTCGCAATTCTAAGGACAAACGAACCTTATCTCTTAAATAGACGTTATAGTCGGTCAACACTGTGGTGACCGATAAATATTGTGCTTAATATTAAATTGCTGCTACATACAAAGCCATGGGGTTAAAGTAATTTGGAAAACTTATGTGAAAGGGCGGCATTAATCTCTCGTCAACGTAATATGAGAGTGGATTCTTGGGGAACTTTCCATTTATCACAGAACATTCATTTTAAGACCTTAATGAACATCCGAAGAAATCTCTACATAACCTTATCTTGAAACTGCTTCACCATTGAGAACTGAACATACCTTTATAACAACCAAAAAAATATTGCTCAAGTTAACAGTCATCAAAATGACCATGGTTTGCACTCCTTTGTCGAGTAATGGCATTGTCTTCTAAAAATTTTACTCTGACAATGCGTACTTTTCATCCTGATTAATAATTAAAGTTTAAGTTTTACGATTTTGGTCCATCTCACTGAGGTTTATGCCAACGAACATGTCCATCAAAAAGCAATAAGGAGAGAATTCGAAAAAGTTTGGCCATAATGAAGCGTTCTGCGTTGATCACTTCTTTCGGAGTATGCCATGGTTTCGATTTCATTATGTATGATGGAGGTGACTGAATGCATTTTTAACTTATACGACTACTTATGAATGTTTTTTAGCAAATAAAGTGAGTGCTTCCGTTTACTGCTTTAGAGAAGTCCGGTAACACTTAGCCGAGTTACGAAGCGTAGCCAACTTGGCTACCCCAAAATGCAGGGCGGAAGCAAAAACAGAGCTTTTATTGCTGGACGCCTGAAACCAATGCGTTCCATAGGGTTCCTGTACGTCGTAATGAAATGATACAATGTTGTTGTACCTGCAGATTCACGAGAATCTACAGACATTAGTAACACCGGAGGGGAATATTGTCCACCTAATTCAGCTTGTGAAATTACGTTAAAGCGGCGACACTAGTAATGTCTGTCTTTCTTAGCAACATTCCTTTTCAGCAATTGTACGACGAAGAAGATCAAACAGTTTCGTTAAACCATTGGAGAAAAGATGCATAATGACTTGAAAGAAGTAAACAAACAACCGCGGATTACTAAGCTACGTGAAATTTCAGCAGTAGAAAACACCGCAATGATGATAGTATCAAAGAAATATTATAGAGATGTGATATGCGGCTTAGAAATAAACAATTGTGAACTTATAAAAAACTGTATTAAGCTGGATGTTAAGCGAACAACAAGAGACCTGTCGACATAAATGCGAAACATCGAGACGAACAGCACAGAAATGACGCACGACGCTCACCATGTCATTTCAGTGAAGAGGGCTCACAAGGAAACACGTATCAAAGATGAGTGAAGGCGTTATTGAAATTCATTTATATGAGGCACTCTAAACTGCTTTGATGAATAATTTTCTTCTATCCGCGTCAATGATACGAAGTAGCGTTAAACGGCGTTAATATTTTGAAGATTAACCACTTCCATGGCGCAGACGCGGCATAGGGGCTTCCTTCCAGCAATTGATCAGCTAAGCTTCTCTCATCAGCTAGTTCGTTTTGCCAGAAAGAATTCAATTTGAAAGAGGCAGTGGTTTGTGCTGATTTTATGATAGTTTCTCATTTGTGTCTAACACTGGTTAACACGTCTCATTTGATGGAACTGGCAGATCAATCTTGAGAAGCGCCAATAATGTCGTTGACAGATCTAAACAAGCTCGACCTCACCATTGAATGTCGTGAGTTTACTAAAGGCTATTGGCGCTAGAGAGTCAAGGATTTCTTTGGGAACTGCCGGTGTTTGAACACCGTATCTAGATACTGTGAATTAGATACATCGAAAATGCCCGTTAGTATGACTTCACCATCTTTCTAAAGCTGAGAAATTGGTACAAAGTTTGTCTGGAAGGGCAGAAGCACTAACACGATACAACGCCATACACTCACAGGTATTTGTATAAGCTACATGTACATTCGACCACCTCCAATGATGGTTCATGAAGACGATTGAGTAGCGCATTCCTAAGGGATAGATCAACGCTAAATGCGTCATATTTTTATACTTTATGGTGAAAAAAGCAAAAAAAGAGCACTCACGGCAAAATGAAATCTATCACAAAACAGGCGACGATTTGTGTCCACCAGCATGGTCCGATCTGAAGAACCAGTCCGTGGACCGTGTCTGCTATTGCTGCTGACGGCTTTACAATGCTCTCAGTAAATCAGGCGAGTAATAAAAATTTCTGGCGTTGATTAGAAATTATTAAATTCTGACGATATAAAAATCGACAATGTGTGCTACATACTAGCAACCGAAATGAAAACGGTGCAAAAAGCTTGAACAAATTCAAAGAAAAGGATTTTTTTCAAAAATCAGTAAAGCTTCCATGCAAAGGTTTCTGTACTCTTAAATATGCTGGCAACCCTCTGTCTATTCATTCTCGTCAACGCAAACTTTTTCTCAAATTATACTTCACAAATAATAGAAAGTTTGAAGACGTTTTAAGCACCAACAAAATTTACAAGCTGTATGGCTAAGAATTAGCTCAAGATCGATTAACCACCGAGCTTAATACCCACTCTAATTTATCACAAACATATTCATTTGTTCACAGTTTCGATTTAAAACTATCATATCACAGTTTCGATTTCATAGTTTCTGTTCATAATAAAGCTTTAGATGGAAAAGTGTCCGCTGTAAACATGCTTTTTTGAAAGGTTGACTAATCCCGATTTCTGCATGCCTTATTCTTTATCGTTTGTTTATTATGGGAATATGCGTGCAAGCGTCGGATAGTACTACTATATAGGTCAGTAGCACTTTACAGTACCTATGTCTACTCCATTATTTTCTTTTTTTCAATTTTTTTCCTATTTCCTAATGGTGTGCATCTCATCGCGACTGACCGGTGTTTTACTGGGTGTCAAATGTCAAACTGCAATCAGCAGCGAGATGTTCCCCAATAAGAAATAGCAACGGACGAGAAAGTCGGCATTTCCATCTGAAGGACTACAGAGGATTAAACTGGTGTCGAAAGTTTTTGGTACCCTTGCCGCACAATAGTTGCCAGCTGGCATATTGTGATGACCTCAGGAAGCGCTTTGAGACTCCAGAGAGACAGCATTTACTCAACAAGCAAAGTGCAAAATCTCGAATGGAAATTGTTAAGGAGTTCGCGCAAATCTAAATGGCCCGTGGCGCCCGGCAATCCAAGTGTTCAAGTGAATATGTAAGACTGCTGCTTCAAAGCAAAATAGCGATTTTATTAAAAATAGTCTATTGTATTTAAATAAGATATAATAAAAATAGACAATATGGTTATATGCAATTGCTATTACACAGGTCTGAGATATATTTTATTAGTAAATCGTAATATTTCCTGTCTATGTATTCCCGCTTAAGAATTATGTGCATTAAATGCTTATATCAGATAAGATATGCCTGATACAGTGCCCATTTTCTTTCCAATTCGTCCTTACACATTGTCAACCGCCGATAAGGAGGGAGGTTCGCAACATTGCAGCCAGGTTGGTAACTACATGTCGTTTTCTGTTTTGGTTTAGCACTACGCGCACTTCCAGGTAAAAAAATTACAATTATTCTTTCTTCGTGTGAAAGACTAGGAGGTTGAACATGTGCTGTACATTTCTGCTTGCAACCAAGGGACACCGTCTGAGCGTGGTCAAGGAGGATACCATTACAGACGACAGGGAATACAGTACACCACTTGCATCATTAACTTTTTTAATCATTAATATGTTAAGCTGCAACAAACCGCAGTTTCTAGACTGATTAGAAAGGTAATAAGACACATTTCACAAAATAAAATCTAAAAACATGAGAATAAGATGTGATAAAAGCGTGGATAAAAAAGCATGATTCCAACCACACGATATGATGACTTCTGAACATTTGTTAGCCGACAACCACACAAACCAGTAAAGAACAATCCAGTCATACAAGGGTCAAATAGTAGGAGAGTAAAGTGAGAAACTGAAATGTGTTGATGAATCTGGTGAGACGTTGATTACAAACATCGCAGTCATCGCGCCGTTATCGTACGGACGGAGTTGTGGCGCTGATTTTGATCAGAGGAACAACACTGACTAGGACAAATATTAAATTTGAACTCAAACTAGTATAAAACTCTCATCTAGAGTGCTGTTCAAAAAAAAAGGTGACAAAAGAGAGACTATTACGACTATTAAGTGGACATATTCGATTTACACTGCTCATCTTTCTGTTTTCAATTTATCCTCAAGTATATTGTAAATTTATGGAGCACCAGTACGTCACCATTTCGTGAGGCAGTATGAAACAGAAAATTATATGTTACGCTCTTCTTGTGACTGTTGAGAGTTGTAAATTTTTTCCCAACGTTTTTTCAACATCGGGCTTTCATTCATGCGTATGTTAAGCACGGAGGGAGATTTCGTATATTTCAACTCGACACTCTCCGAAACACCGTGATTACTGACCCCATAATTTTGAAAGCAGAAGTAAGTATGCAAAGCTGGCATTAACTTGCCATTCGCTGATTGCAAAGGGATGAATCGTTTGAACTAACATGTTGAACATTGATTAGTTCGAAATCAACTAGTGATAACAGCTCATTTTGCTTTAGTCAAGTGAACGCGAACAAACAAATTGACCGCATCGATTAAGAGAGCATGGAAGGACCACTACATATTGTATATTGTGTTGGTTACATACAGCCTTGTTACCATTCAGTAATCTATCGAAGCTAAAATTGCTTCAAAAAAGTAACGGCAATACTTTGTTGAAAGCGTTCACATATGGAAAGTTCTGTTTAGATGGCTTTGTTCAGTGAGGTTTGATGCTGTTCTGCTTAAACAATGGTGTTCATTGAAGACGGATTGTTAGCGGGCGTTGGATGGTAGATAAGAATCCATGATTCAAAGAACCACAAAGCCAGTTATTCAATTGTAGTTGTAGTGGTGGAAGTGGAGAAATTCAAATGGCTTTTTCTTCAAAGCGCTACAATTCCAGTAAATGTCTCATTCCTTACTCTTACTTTCGTGAAGTTTATTTTACTGAAGAGATATCCAACAGCACAGCAGAACTTGTATCAGAAAGAAATTGGCATCCAACTTCTGAATGCAGAAATTCGCTCAATACTAGTGATTTTACTTTCCTACCAAAAGAGATCCTTTAACTTGAACAACAGGAAATATTTAGAAAACAATTCAATAAGGACATAGTAAAAATATGAACATGCTGCGAAAATTAATCGGATTGGTTTTTTACACGAGCTGACATCACATATTATGCAGGTTTCAGCACAACGTTCGTTCGATTCGTTTTTTGAATTCGTTATTCACAGTGTTGTTTGGAATTTGCATGTGTGTTATGTCACTGAAAACTGAATTT